TTCAGCTTCCACTGTTCAGACCTCTTCGACCTCGACCGCTTCGACTGCTTCGACTGAGTCTACCGCAGCTGCCAGTACCTCTTCAGCTTCCACTGGTCAGACCTCGACCGCTCTCACGAGTTCATCCTGTCCGTGTAGCCCAACCACAACCCGGTCGACGACCCCGGCCCATACTACGGCGACAAGGCCTATCCCAGTCACTAGCGACAGCACCACAGCTGGACCAGTCACCACCGAGATCACTCAGAGTTCCAGCCCTATCACCACCACGACCACCGGATCGGCCACCGAGAGCACGCAGAGCTCCAGCCATGTCACGACTACTACCAGCCCATCAACCACTGCCACCAGTTCGTCCAGCACCACCAGTGCCACCAGCTGCGTCCCGGTCACAGAGACAGTTTACACCACCGTTACCGTGACGGAACCTTGCCCGACGGTGCAGCCCACTGCTGGCAGCGAGAAGCGGACGGCCAACAACAAGCTCCAGAACCGATCACCCGCCAAGGAAGCCTCGAGCGCGTCTAGTCCTGCGGTCGTCACGGGTGGAGCCAACGCCGGCCGCGGCGCTGGTGCCCTTGCCGCTATCATGGTCGCTGCGATGGTCATGTAAACCTGGAACAGGCTGAAACGATAATGGCATCAAGCCATTGGAGCTTTCTCTTTGCAAGATCAACATACTTCTGCGGAAGAGCTGTGCGATAGGCCTTTTGCTCATCTACTCAGGTACGAGCATTGACTCAACTGAGATGGGTTGGTTCACCTTGTTCAAGATGCCTCTAATAAGCCACCGCGATGGAGGGTTTCACTGGGAGGGGCTCGGTGAACATGCACCACGCTCCAGACCGAGCATTTGGACAGCTGCACGTAGTCGCGAAAAGAAATTTGTGGTTCATTGTTCGTGTGCGGCCATCAAGTGATCAAAACGCCAATTGCCACCGTGTCGGGGGTCCGTTGGCCCTTCATGTTAGCAGTCATGAGGCCAGACCACGTATTATGACCATGATGCAGCGGCGAGTCATGCTGCGGTTGACAAGCAAGGTCAGCAGCAATGGTTGTTGCCTTCCTGGCGCTGCTCAATGATGAGCCTGAAGTCGAAACTCGGGGCTGCATTTGCGGCTGCAGGCGGGGCTGCCTAGTCATAGGGTGCATACGCATTATCGCGTTCATGTTGGTCGTGGGAGCCACGCTGTCCAACAAGTAAACCGACCGCTCTGCAATGTTCTCCGACTTAGTGAGCCGCGCTTTAGTTGATATCTGTCACTTAGTGAAAGGAGGCAGGATCCGTCGGTCTGCAGACGCCTCCTCGTATTCCCGCCGAGGTCCTGCAAAGGCGTCGTCTGGTGTTTCACTGCTATCGCACACTCAGGTCGCGGGCCACATTCTGACCCAGGACGTGCGATTGACAGAGCGCCAAACACGCCAAAAGGTGCGAGATTTTTCACAATGGTTCATCGGCATCCACTGCGATTGTGCGATTGACTGCTGAGTGCAATCTCACCGAGCATCGCAAAGGCGACGACATGTGGCCAGTAATGTATATATTGGCGCCGATGTTCCCGGGCTGTCGTACTATCATTTCGCAATCACAATCTCACGAGGATCACTTATCGGACCCTACTGTGGAACACTCAACTTATCATCGGCACCATGCGAGCCCTTGCAATTCTTGCTCTTGCTACCTCGGCCATCGCCGCCGTTATTCCTAGAAATGCCACAGAGGGTGTCTACGTTGTCGCATTAGACGAGTTTGGCAACGAGATCCACAAGCGAATCTCCGAGCCGCTACATTCTGCACCGGAGGCTCGATCGCTGCTCGACGGCGATGATGAACTATATGGGCGCGATGACTGGCTTGCAAATGAGAACACCCCTACCTACTCAACATACTGCGGCTGCGGTTTCAAGCTCAACACCAAGGACACCGACGCCGCCGTGGCCGATCTCAGGAAACAAGCCGGCTTCGGCACGTGGTACCCCCACACGGCCATGTACTCCGTCCGGGGTTCCACGGTCGCCTTCATGTGCAAGAGAGGCGACGGCAAAGGCTGGGGCAGCTCAAGCCACATCGGCAAGCTTTTGAAGCAGGCGACAAGCGCTTGCGGGAGCTACGTTCCCGGTACTGCCCATCAGAACCAGGGCAATGATGGAACAACCACCAGCAACATTGGCATTATGCGGTGGTATGCGGGTCTCGACTTCTGTGGCAAGGCTGAAGGCGCTGGCGATCATAGCTGCTGAGGGTGCATGTGGGGGCAGGGTCGCGACTTGGTCAGTGACATATTCATGTACATATTAACGGGCTCGATGAACTCCGCCCATACGCGGCAGTGGGCGAGCTCTCGATCGGGTGCTGGCTTCCATGTCTCGCGTACTCTTCTCTTCGAGTCAATATTTATCAAGATATTTCCCGTCTTTAAATTCCATTGTGTTTGGCACACACCAAATGTGTTGGCGTTCATGACACCCAGTATGGCGGGTGAAGTAATTTGAGAGGACGTCTATACTGCCTCTCAGTGTTGTCCTACATTATAGCCTGGGTCCCCATGACGATAGTCTGAGTGTGTCGCACCTTTGTAGCAGGTGATAGTCACGTAACCATGTTTGGTGTCGCTCAACCCAGGAACTGCATCGACGATACCAGCGCCAACGGACCCAAGATAGAGAATGCACCGACAGCCCAATGCAAAGCTGCGCCGCTCTCCAAATCACGCATTCTCTTAACCAGATCATAATCAATCCACTCACACCTATTCGATGCTGTAAACGCGGTCGAGTTGATCCTTGTGCCGTTTCTTTTTATCTCATCGAGCCTCGTTGCCCAGGCGCTCTCAACACATTCGCCCCAGTTCTCCGCTAGCGTTACGTTGTTGGTGGCGCAGTACTTAGCAATGCAATCATACTCGGTGAAGTAGTTATTTGTTCTGCCGTGGACTTGGCTGAAGTTTAACGGACAGCATGGACGAAATAGATCCCACTCCTCCCCGGCGCCTAAGGCATATGGACCCTTGGGCTCGGGATTTAAACCGGAGCCTGAATGTCGGAACGGAGTGACCTCGCAGATGATGGTCAAATTGTATTCTTCAGGAACGAGGCCACATGCGCCTCTGTGATATATCCACGAGCGTTGTATCTGTAAGTGATCAGCGACGAGCTAGAAAAGTGAAGCAATGTGTGCCTCGCCAGCTGCGTTCAGCAAGCGTTTCTCAACGTACTGCAGAAGTGTCATTCTTTGACAGAGTTACAGTCTGAATCTCGCTCTTGGTCATCTTCAGATTGTAGGGAAGGCTTTGTAAGACGAGGGTCGAGAGTGCGAAGTCGTTATCCGACGATGCCGCCGTCGCGTTCACGTGGATCAAAGGTTGTTGGCTGCGCCGTCTTAAACTACCGTCGCGGAGTTGCTGTTATAGGATCCGAATCTCGACTTTCCAAACCCCTGCACCCGTGGCTGCTTTAATGGTGGCCAGCTCAGGCGCTAAGCAGCCCGCTCCCTGAGCCCGCCCTGAGCTGCCCTGAGCTGCCTGAGCCTGCCCTGAGCCTGCCCTGAGCCTGCCCTGAGTTGAGCCAGGGTCAAATCACATGACGGCATTGCGTATAAGCTTTGTGCATTTTCGAGACAACGGCCAATCGCTTCGGCGGCCAGAATGGAAGCGGCCAGTCTCGATGTCATTGGAGGAGCCCATGCCAACTGGATGGCCCAAGTAGGGTATAAATCAAGTCCGCATGCCCATTCCATTCGTGACTAGAACCCATCCCTGACTCCTGCCTCTATGCACTCACTATTTACCATGTACAGTGTTTCCCAGTTAATCAATTGTTAGCCCGCTTGCTACAATGGGAGGTAGGCAACAAGGCTCTGCCCGTGACGCCGACCAGTTGGTAGCACTTGCTATTCAAGGCGGTCTCCCAACGGACACAACACAACTCGATCCGCACTTCGTCCACAGGAACATCAGCGAAAATACCGCCAGCAAATATGAGAGGGCACTCGAGTTATGGGAAGCGTGAGTCGGTAGAGTTGACTATCCACAACGTCAGCTAAGCCACAGGCAGATTCGAGCGGAGGTTCCCTGGCTCGACGCCAACGAATATTCAGACGTTGAAACAGTATGCCGAATGCATTGCGTTGGCGGCAAAAGGGAGGCTAGACAAGACTGGGAAGAGGAGGCCAACTGCAACAAGCGTGCGCAACGAGATGAGGAAGTTCTGCAGTGCCTGGCAGCGCGCCCACAATGTACACATCCCGCCTGATGCGCGGCTGTCGATGGCTCCCGTAAGTTCCTCGTCTACGACGTCAATTCCCTGCGGCTGACTTCTGTAGTATATTGAAGGCGAGCTCGCAAAGAAGCTCGGGCTGCCTACAGGGAAGAAGGCCCACAAGAAAAAGACTTTCTTGACTATTGAGAACTATGTTCACATGCAAGAACGCCTTTGGTGTAATGACTACCATCATTACATCCACGAGGCGTACCGACTAGACAATGCAAACCTACTCAATACGCACTGCTTCACCTCGGCGAGACTCCAGGAAGTTTGTCAGGCCCGTTATCAGGTGCGTCTTTGGGGTTGGTATGGCCCTTGACCTTGCGCTAAGACCAGTAGGACCTGGAATGCTTGATCTCCTGGGCGGATGGGGTGCCAGAGTTCCGCTTGAAGTTCACTAGAGAAATTTGCAAAGGGACTGTCACTATGCAGTAAGTCGGCTTCTTTCGTCTGCATATCTCAGAAACTAAAATACGTGCGGGCCTGAACATACGTTCGCCGAGCAGATGAAAGCTCCGGATGGGCTACCGCCACCTTTATTTGCTCAACCGCTTTTGCATTGGCTCGCCAATGTCATTTCGGCGAGGGCATCTTCGGAGCTCACCACTGTTGAGCAAGCGCTTTCTCTTAAACCTCCCAAAAAGGGAAATTTCCGCATCATAGAGTGGGATCGTCACATGATAGACAGACCCGTTTTCCCCGAGTGGACTCGGAACGGTCCAACCGACAAAACACGAAGTCCAGATTCGTGGAGTGATGAAGTGTCAAAATGGGCAAAGCGAGCGGGCCTCACAAACGGCACGGGCCTTCATGCTCCTCGTCGTGAGGCCCTCATAAAATGCAACGGTACGGCCCTGGACCTGTCGTACAACCAAGATCTAACCGTCTACGTAATGCCGTACAGACAGAGGCTATTCTCTTGGCCAGGTTCTTCGCTTTGCTTCTCAGCACAACACGCACGTGCTTGTCAACCATTATCTCGGCAATATGTCAACCATCGACGGAGCAGGTACGTATCTCAACATGCGGCCGCGGACAGACCTGGTAGAAGACTTCCGATCTGCAACCATGCGGTGGAACCCAGGTCTCCACTTGACACTATCCGCCAAGGACAAAGAAGAGCTGGAAGGCAGTCTGGAGTACAAAGCAGTGACTAGACGAATAAATGAGCTCAACAGACGAATCCGCGAAGCCACGACTGAAGATGAGAAGCAGCAGTTCAAAGATCAACGACGTCTTGAATATGACCGACGGAAGGCGATCGAAAACAAGCGGCTCAGAGAAATTCAGGCCGCCCAGAAGATCATTTACGATCGGGGCGACGATCCGCATGAACAACATGATTGGCGTCAAATACACTTCGATCGCATTTCACACATGCTTCCTCCCGAACGCCTGCGCCTCGCAAAAAGCATGACATTGCGGGCATGGCCAAGGAGCTCGGAGTGGGTCAGTGTGTTGAAAGACCTCATCGCTCTGCGTGAAAACAACGACAACGCCGCGTATCAGGAAGCTATGCGGCCTATTCAAGGCTACTGCGCAGTCCCACCATGTCGTAAACCTATGGCGAGGTATGTTCGTCGGTATAAGGAGAGAAAATTTGCTTCCGCTAACATCATACGCCAGCATTCCCCCAGCAGAGAGGTGGCAGCATGCTTACGACTGTCACGAATCGTATTACAAAGCCACGTCCAGCTTTGCGAAATTTTGTTTTCATTGCAGCAAGTGGGTGGCGGGTCAAGGAGAGTGGAAACACCACTGTCAATCTCACATTGACAGTGGTGATATCCCATTTCGATGTGACCCGATCGTGTTCCGTCACGCTGTCGCCTCTGCTGGATATTGCCCGGTTCACTTGGGGCGACAAGACCTGCCGGCCCACCAGCGGATGACACAGTATATCGACAAGTCTTCATGGAAGCGTCACCTGTCTGATTGCCTCCCGGCATATATCATAGGTCAAGGCTCGAGCAATTTTGCATGCCCTCATACGTTATGCCCAGCCGTCTTCAATTCATCGGATGATCTATGGCATCATCTTGAAGACGTGCACAGTGTTCCCAAACCAAAGATCTCTCCTTTGGGTAAGCGAAAGACGCCACCGGAGCCTGAGGTCACTGCAGCAAAGAGAAGAATCACCGTTCTACCACAGCGGAGCTCAGTGTTAGGGAAACCCTATGGTGTCGGCACAGCACCAAGCGACAACATCATTTCCTTGCCACGCGGCCAACCACTACAGGTTGATAGCAACGATTCTGCCACGTTGCTAGGCTCTGTATCAGGCAATGGCTACACGGAATGGGGCTTTGGGTACTTCGAACCCCTTGCTGAAGCTGATGCCGACCTCCTGGATTTTGCTACGTTAGCATCCCCCGCCTCCGCGGCGGATCGTACAACTCCTACGGTCTCAGGCGCAGACCTGCAAGAGTGCGTCGATCCAGATATTCTGAGTTCCGGGTCCACCCAAGCTCAAGCTGATAGTGCTGTTGATGCGTCCGACTTGGACAGCGGTGCACCCCCCAGTCAAAGTTCTCGATCCTACTTCGATGCGGATGATCTGCAAAGCTCAGAGCCCGAGTACCCCATCGAATGCTTGCTTGCAATGTGGAAGTCTCAGAAATCGGAGCTATTTCTGGTCAAGTGGGTGGAGGGGAGTACAAGTTGGGAACCCGAAATGAACGTCCCTGACCAGAGCATTGCTGAACTCAAAAGAACTTATCGGGGTTTCCGGGACGGGATTGAGATACTACAAACGCAGGTCAGGGGCAAAGCACTGTGGTACAAGATACTGTTCTTGAATTTCGACGGAGCAGACGAAGATAGGTCCTGGTGGGTGCCAGAGAAGGCAATGGACCCGGAAGTCCGCGTCAAGCGCGAAAAGAAAAACAAGCGACGGCGGAGGAAGCGTAGTTAGACATACACACTTTGGACTACATTCGAGCACTCCAGCAGCGGCAGCGGTGTTTTCTACCGTAAGGAGAAATCTAGACATAGGAATCAAACTAGGAGATGACGAGAAGCATGAGTTCCTACCTGCCGCAGAACTGCTATCTAACGGCCACGCTTCGTGGCAGCTGCCTTCCGCCGCAGATTTCGAATGACAAAAATGGACATCTCAACATATACCTTAGAGTCACTAAGTAAACTGCACAGTAAAACGAGACCTCGAGTTCCCAAAAAGTTACCGAACGATAGAATAACAGCAGAAGATGGGTATGCAACATCGGCGTCGCGGGGCAGGAGCGCGGAAACGGTCCCGATGACGTCTATCTGCAGACGTGAACGGCAGGAGCACCAAGGCGGACGAGTGGGCATGCAACAGAATGCTTTAACGTCATACCGCAAGGTATTCGACGGAGCCGGCATGGCTCACGACGAGATCCCCGAGCCCACGAAAAGCGCCCAAGAATTCGACGCGTGTCCTGGGTCCAGATATTTTGCGCAGCTACATTTTCATGGTCATCGGTACTATCGCGCCTTAGAAACCCCACATCTTTCCAGTTGACAGGGTCCATCTCCACCAGCGCCTAGAAATATGCTGAATTGAATTGGTCTAGAAGGGCGGCAAACAGAGCATCAAGGTGCATGGGACATGGGGCTTTCCAAGTCATTCTCCGCCAATTGCGGAAGCAAGTCCATGCTGCACGTTCTGTGCAGGTATTGTCTGTCGTCAAACTCAACGTTCGGATTGCGACGATTTGCGGAACGATTCCAGCGGTGCCGACAACATATGCTGATAGGGCCTGATCGCCTTGCTACCTGATCTTGCAATTGGTTGTGCCGAGCCAAGACATTACCTTGCGGGTGAGTCGGTTGAAATGACTTTGACAGTTGCCTCCGTCATCTTCGGATTCGAATCCGCGCTCTTCGTCAGAGTCCAACCGTCCAACGCATCAGCATACTCTTTTTCATGGGGACAAACATGCGCCGTAGCATACATCACGTCGGCGTGAAAGCCTAGAGTAGAGCGCGGGCCAGGTCATTCGACGAGACCGGTTGGGAACATACCGGACACAGAGGGTCTGGGGCATCGCTCCTAGACCCTTCCGTCGCCGTGTCCCCCCCACTCTCATATGAGGCAGTTTTGGCTCCATTACATACTGCAGCGAGTTTCAACGACTGATGATGGACGGTCAACTTTGCGGGTTGACATTTTCCGGCCGACTGCACGACCGCATCCAGCATGCATGGCGAGGGTGTCAAGTGCGACGGTGTGGAGACTCGTGATGTGAAGCAAAATCGGCTTCCGGGACGAGTGGTGTGAAGCTTGCAAGACGAGTGGTGTGAAGCTCGCAGGACGAGTGGTGTGAAGCTCGCAGGACGAGTGGTGTGAAGCATGCAGGCTTGCAGGACGTGTGGTGTGAAGCAAAGAAGCTGCTGGTGGGCTGAATGACAGGGGACACCGATCCTTGTCTGCACCCATGTGCCCACCCTGGTCTTACCCCTTGCCCTGGCAGTTTCGCCAGAACCAGGACGCGGGATCCCTCATCATGAAGCTGCGATGGGCATGAGCTGGAAAAGCCTGCGAGCAGCGTGGGCAACTTTGCAGCACTCGTCCTGCGAGCTTCACACCACGTGTCCTGCAAGCCTGCATGCTTCACACCACTCGTCCTGCGAGCTTCACACCACTCGTCCTTGAAGCCGACTTGGCTTCACACCACCCATCCTGCAAGCCTACATGCTTCACACTACTCAGGCTTCAACGGCTACGTAAGGGACGAAGTGATCTAGGAATCGCTTCGGTTCTTCTTGTTCGCTACCCAGTTCCTTGAAACTCTCTGCAAGTTCCATCGCACTCAGTTCGGATCACAGAGTTACTAGTGATGGCATGCACGACGCCCGAGCGGGAACTCCCCCCACCCTGACAGACGCTTTTCATCAGTGTCGATGAGCAACGAACTTTTGATTTCGGCAATCCAGACTTCGGCTGCACCACGTCTGCGGCCACCGCCCTCGACGTTAGAGCAATTTGCACGTTTGACTTCCGGCGAGCCATCGTACCTTCTCGAAATTCGACCGTACGACGCCGCTATATAGTGGATACAAATGTGGAAGGCATAAAATTGGACCTAAAGGCTACAGAGCACCGTGATAGGAACAAGATTCGTGCAATTCAGCGCGGCCTCTATGCCAGTTTCTCGGCAGCAAATGAAGCATGCTTGTAGAAGAATTAGATCTAATGTACTGTATTACAACTTTCTTGGGTCCTGTCCCCAATAGACTCGAGACATGAGTGAAAATGAAGTGTCGCCTTCATTCTCAATCCTCTCGGCCTGTTGCTTGAGAAGCATTTCACCATGTCCTGAGACTCCTATCGCTGCGGCGTTCTTTCGAACCCCATACTGACTGCCACCGGTTTCTCCTCTACCTACGTCTCCGGATGCTCGATCGTTTCAATATTCAGGATGTGGTACGAATTCTACATCTGCTTCTCGAAGCCGCCGTCGAGATCTTGAGCTAGGACAGTCTTGATTGTGGTAACACCTGGTGCGTGACTACATAGCCTTACATATTTGTGCGTCTACTCCTGCATCGAATCTTCGGATGCATACGTATAGTGCGGTGTTGATCCTGCCACGAGAGGATTTGAGGGGGAACAGACGGACACAGATGGTCTAGAGTGTCGGCCGCAGACCCTCCCACGGTAGCTCGTACGCCATTCCGGTAGTGAGGCAGTTTGGCTCAGCCGACTCCGTCTGCAGCAAGCTTTGACGACGCGATGAACGGTCAACTTGCGAATAGAGGCTCCTTCCCGCGTGACCTCAGCATGAGCCAAGGTACAGACAGGTGATTGGAGAGTCTGGGCAGAAGTCTGGGCAGAAGTCTGGGGTGTCGGCCCTAGACCCTTCTGGCGGCTCCTACCTTTTTGCAACTGTGAGGCAGTTCTGGCTTCTCATTATAATTACAGTATGCACTGCACACTGCAGCAGGCCTCTATTGTGGAAGGTGGCCGTTCAAAGCGCCCAGTCTCTCGCCCCTCAGCTCCCGAGCCACACCCGGAATAATCCTTTGTCGGCGCTCGCGAAGCCGTCAGTCGCCAGGCAAGCATGAGAGAGGGTGTGAAGCTTGATGGAGTAAAAGACTTGGGGTGTAAACCTTCATGGTGTGGAGCTCCACGGGGCGCAGAAGTGGATGGTGGGCCGCCTCTGTAGCACCCTGTACTCACCCTGGCCTGGTCGTACCTAAATTTTGGCAGCCAAATTAAGACCCCGCTGCGGTGAATCAAAAACTGCTCCAGTACTTCGAGCGCTGGAGGCTGGAACGGAGTGCCAGGATGAGTGTGGTAATATGGTAGACTCAAGCATCCTGAAAGCAATCGGTCCTGCGTTGTATTTCAGTCGTTCCAGCGCTGTGACAACCAGACGTCAAAGGGCATTGACCGATCATCACAATGCATGCCAGAGCACCCTTCCGCTTCTCTTCCCTTGTCATCAATCCTTCCTGACTCAAGCTTCTTCCACCGCAACTTCGTGACAAGGAACTCGCGGGAGACAATAGGACAACTGGTACGACTGCTCGGCCTGCACCTGTGATGGACGCATCGGAGAGAAAGGGTAAGAACTATGTACAGCTATGCGAGTCGTCTCGTGGTCTCCGGTCGAGAGCAAGCTGTCGCCAACAGAGCATCAGGTGAACACGTTAACAATGATACCTGCGGCCATCCAGGGCTGACCAGCCACTGCTGTAGGAGCCTCAATGTCGAAGGCCGCCTCAGCTCAGAGCATGCACGATCCCATTCACACGGGCAAGGATCTTAACTGTTGGCACAGCCTGAACGCGAACATCAACGCACAATCCGGGAAAGGTACAAGCGTCTTAGTGGCTTCGGTCGACCATGGGTGTACTGTCCGCTTCCACGCACGTATCATGAGGCTTTTCACCGCCGACCGCAAAGGTTGGTTGCGGAGAAACCGAGCTCTTCTCGAATCCGATCGGCGCGCCCGACCCAAGCGATACCAGGTCGTGGCTAGGTCCAATATCGCAGACTGTAACATGCAAGGGGCGGTGGCTCATGACAAAAGAGTGCGAGAAGACGCTGGACAAGTTCAGACACCTACCGGGTTCGCTATATGTTCGTGCGAACGTGGCTCAAAGGCACAGCTATGCCAAGTAGGCCAAGCTAGTCGCGACGACAAAGACTTCATGGCTCTGCGCGACTACAGCCCATCACTCAAGACGCTCTTCCGTCAGACCAACTGCCTGAAGGTGGACTGGGATGGTCGGCCACTCGACCTAGGAGACGACCCGCATGGCTACCTACTGCACCCGGAAGAAGTCATGCTGGCCTCTACCCTTCGCCTCGATTGTGCGACATATCTCACGAGCAAGCGCCGCATCTTTCAGCGGAGGCTGGAGTGCCTGCGTATTGGCAAGGAGTTCCGTAAGACGGACGCGCAGAAGGCATGCAAGATTGATGTCAACAAGGCCTCGAAGATGTGTACAGCATTCAAGACCGTGGGTTGGTTAGACGAGTCATTCATGCGCCGATTCCTGTGAACAGGTTGGCTCTCCCATCATCGCCCACCAGGTAGGCGACAGTGGACGAGTTTTTGTCTCGTGGTCTATAATCTCGTTGCACAGGCGTGCCGGGCGTCGGGTGCGTCTTTCGTGCGGGAGTGGTTCTGGCCATTCTGTCGGCCGTTCCTCATCGTGGGTCGTTGCAAATTTAACAAGCTGGCATCCGAAGCCGGTAACCTTGTCCATAGCTGTTGAGTTTGATGTTGGGCGTTTGGGTTCAGTCGTCGTGCTGCGCTGATGTGCTGCTCACTGTCTCGAAACGCAACCTGGTCAAAGGCTTGCCCGCAGGGTTTCGCGCTCGAGGCCCACTCTACGGCCAACCTACCTAGCTAGCGTCTACAAGGAGGTCAGAATGTAACCGAAGGCTGCATTTCGATCCGTGCAGTGCATTGTGGCCATGGGCAGGCGACTTTCGGTCGATTTGCAGCTGCTGCTTTCAAAATTGCGTGATGACGTTTGGGGCCAGCTGGCACCTACTACGCTCACATTGTATGCGAAGTGGGGCGGCTATATGTTAACCCGGTCCGTTTCTACAGACGGCGAGACCCCGCTCCCGGGCTGGGCATCAAATTAGCGCCAACAGCTGAGTAGCAACTCAGTTCAGTTAGCTCATGTTGTATAATAAGGACGCCTGCACACCCAGAAGCTTCCCGGCCGTTGCAGAATGGTTGCACTACCTCTAATACCGATTTGACGCGAAACTCGTGCGATTATGAGCAGCTCGCTGGCCGCGTTTCAAGAATGCAACCGACAGCGCTCGGACACAACATGAGTGCTCCTCGCAGACAGCATAAAAGACACAGAAAGCAGGTCCTGGACAAAACAGCGCGACAAATGCGAGCTACTGATGACATCCCGCTGGAAGACAAGCCTTGTTGCTCCAAGGCGGCTTTCGAACGCCCACGGCTACGGAAGTGCCCCCACGACTTATCCACAGTCGACTGGGAGAAAGCTGTCCCGCTAGGAGGTGGACTAGATGGGTATGTTTGGAAGGTGTACTTTGGTACGAACGGCCCTTTCGCACTCAAGGTGGTAAGTTGGCTATGCCATCTTTGTGCTCGCGTTACGCTTGCTCTTGCTTATCCGGCCTATCGGACCTTTCAGTTCTATGACACCGAACCGCCCGATCTCATGCACTATTATGCTTTCCAGCGAGAGTGCCAAAATGCCGCTCTTGTACAGTTGCTTGTTACTGCAGTGCAGCAAGCGACTGCCACCGGACCGATAATCATCAAGAGTAGTCCGAGCTCCAATCACGACGCCCGAGCCAATCTCCTCGCCTTCTCCGACGAGCAACGACAAATACGACAAAGTCAGCAGACCACTTTGAATGACAGGGACATGATCATCTCGACAGTTCCGCCCATGACCCAGTGTTATGGGTGGCTGAAGGTTGATGGCCAAGCCTTCCGCAAAATGCCTCATTCAGTACGACCGCCGACCACGAAAGTAGACAAGCTCATACGCGGGTTCTCTACCGACAAGAGCTACTTTGGAATAGTTTACGAATACGTCGCTGGAGCTCAAAATGATCAGGACCTAGTGGAGGAAGTGGATTTGTTTTTCTATCGTGCAGGATTCGGTTACACGCTGTCGCCAGACCGGAGAAATTGGTGTGGAAGCAGGCTCGTAGATCATAGCGAATATGTACATCCACAAGGGTTCGGATGGTCGTCGCATCTCTACGGACCGAGGCGCGCAACACAAATTCTGGTGTGAGAATTCACACTGTTGACTGGCGTTTTGATCTATCAGTACCATCGTCTGCGCGGGATTTCTAAAATCCCATTGAATCAACTGCTCTCCAAGCTTTTGAGCGACGTAATGTATGGAATTGCAGTCCATGGACCTCAATAGGGCTCGAACATGCTCGTAACATCTGAGTATCAGCCCAAACGTGCCAACAGCGTAAGTACGGTACATGCTACCGTACAAGGTAGCTGACATGACGGGTTGAGACAGAAAAGGACCTAATATAAACCTATTTTGGAAAGCTCTTCGCGAAGTACACATGCCTGCGGCCTTGTTTCTCGTATCCGCCATCCACCTTTGTCCACTCCCTCGCAACTGTGTCGATCTTGTTTCCATGGCTGTCTCTATAGTACAGTGTGTTTCTGAACGTGTGCTTTTCAATCGTGACTCGTATGCGCTTACTTCGCCTGCCACTTTGAGGCGATTCGCTTCCAATAAAGTCGGGAGCATCAGGGTCTTCTTGTGACCCGGGATCTACCTGTCTTGTAGTATCGGTTTCAGGTGGGCCGTGTGTTCCCGAGGAATGCCCGCCGATAGGACTCGAGTCGTGATCGTAATATGACTGGGTGTCGTCCTCGTGGACAGCAGGTAGTATTGGTAGTTCACACTGCATGGGCGAACCCAGGGTGTTCCCGGCGCTCCGTTCAACCATGGCGTTCTCGCGAGTAGGCCCCTGTGGATCGGGCTCTTGACAGGCATCGTCTCTGCTCAACTTCCGCTTCGCCTTGCCAGATGTATTGTGAACATAGCCTGCTCGCTCATCGCGGCGCCAAGTGTCGAGACCTGGGTACGAGTAGTCCACGAATCGGTCACCGTTTGTGGCCATCATCGATAAGCACCAGAGGGCCAATTTGACAGTCAGACAGCGCCCATGGCTGCTCCAAGGTATCAGGGAATACTCTGGATTGTAATACTCCCAGTTCGCCGGGTTGTCACCAGTGTATGGCGATGATGATAGAGGGGCTGAAGCCATACTCGTGTCAGAAGATTGCCTGTAATGACCCTGATGATAAACGGCCGTACTTCGTATTGGTCGTCCTTGAGCGATACCGGGACCGGTCGGTAGTTGCGTGAGTCTAAGAACCACGAGATACTGGTCTGTCAAGATGAAGCCATATCGCGTCTGGAAATATGCCATATAGGTCGCAATTTGGGCCATGACTTTACGCCACTCTTCGTAGTTGGTATCGCGCATGCCTGGGGACCATTTTGCATCGAGTTTCGTATCCCCCGGCAGGATGTTGGAGTAACCCTGGTCCGAGAAATGTTGCGCGGATATGACAGACCAGTCGGGGCGATAGTCACCGTTGACACGGGACCCACGACCAAGATGAGGACTTCCGGGCTGGTAATGCAGAGCATAATTTGTTGTTGGAGCCACGAATCTTCTCATAGCGTCATCTAACACTTCCTCATTATTCGCGAAAGTGTCCATTTCCAGATGTCTCTGCTGCTCACTACCGCGATAGGTGGCTCCCAACTCGCTCCGGAAAATCCGGGTCAGTGTGGCATAGTTGAAATCCGTCCATGGAGTCCAGTCATCTGGTTGAAATATGGCAACCACATTGGTGTTTGTTCCCGGAACGGCCGATGAAGGGTTAAGCGGAACATTTCGTTCTGTCAGAGCCTCCAGGAGAGTCCTTGTCATTTTAAAAATGAGTAGGGGAAGGATAAGTGAGAGTAAAGACCTGAATAGCTCGGGACACGACTAAACGAGCCGGGGAGGTCTATTTCCGTACAGATTTAGGCCGGTTAAGAATCAACGATTCGGGAAACTTTGGTTGAGCTTTAGGTACCCCCGAATTCTGCAAGCGGTGCTTTGATCAGATAGTTGAAGGTCTTCGTTGGAGATACTGAAGATATGCGGATGGCCAAATGTTTGTTGCCAGCATGGAGCCTGCACTATATATCTCGACTGGTTTAAGTGGAACCAGAGCAGCCAAAGGCACATCGGCGTACCAATATGTGATGTGGTGTGGCGAAGGTACAGTACCTTGCTCGTTTGCTTTCGTTCCCACCTAAATGACCGTCCTCCCAAATGTACGTCCTGCGTCTCTTGGCTGATCCTACTCGGCTGACTTTGGCGATGCTGCGCCTGAAGGATAGTCAATGACTCACTGATGGAGACAGCCATTCAAAGTCAGGGGCCCAGGAGGACCCTGAGTCTGGTAGTTACGCATGCTTTGCCCAAATGAGGTCATTTCCATCCTAGACTTTCATCCAGCTGAGAGGTGGCGTAGGTGGGGGGCGCGGCTTGGCGGGCGGCAACCAAGTGCAGCGCAGGGGAACTGAGCTGCATACATACAGTACTGTATGCGTAAAATTTGACACGCAAGGCACGAGAAAATTCATCGGGGGCGGTTCATACAAGGCATTCCTCGCATACAGTACCATGAGAAGGCACCTGTGGCATGTGGGTGCATCAAGGCTGCCACATTCCTGCGTTTCTCTTCGTGATAAGATCCCGCCAGCAGCATCACACCACGAAACGCGACAGGCATCATACTTCTGTGATAAGGCTGGTATATACGTAAACAGGCATCACATTTTAGCGATAGGACTGCCTTTCCAGTCACACTTCTGTGATGCCGCTGCCAGTGCAGGGATCACACTTCTGTGACAGAGCTAATTATCTGTGCAGCGCAGTAGACCCTGTGCCAACATCACACTTTGGTGATAGAGCTATGTCTGCAGACGTCAAACACTGCAGCGCGATCCTACGCTGTACAGTATTACGGTCATACATTTGGGTCGCCCGACTGTTAGCCTTGTATCACACTGTATCGTAGTGTACGTTACTTTAATGAGGAACTCGAACATGTGATGAAATGCTCGTGTGCAGGATTGCTGCCTCCTTTCAACGCCTGGACCCGCGATGCGCGTATGCTCGGTCTATCCACAGATCTGTTTAAAAGCCATGCACGTCAAATTTATGCTAAATTGCTTAATACTTTCTCAAACTTGTTGACTGTAACTCACATCTACACCATCTCCATGTTGAAGTAGAGCTCTGCAAATCCTTCCACTCCATTTATCCCAGCTACATTCATCAGTGTCTCGAACGGCGCCGCAGCATTGCGCGCCCGGCATGTCGCTCAGCAGATGGAACCCCGTGCAAGGCAGACTACAGAAGGCCTATCTGACAGGTTAGTGGCGGGAATTCCGATTTGGGGTGGTGTCTCAGTACTAGCTTGGTCGACCACACCTAACTAGCCGTCAGCCCTACTCCTCACCCTTCGCCTCACGGTCAGAATGGCCATTTGCTGTCTCCTCCACTAGATGTCGACGAGCTCCTGCTGTCGTTGGCTGAGGCATACGAGGATGACGATACCGCTGCTCAAACGTCTGGTGCAAATGGAGTGGTCCCTGACAGCATACGAATGTCTCACAATCAGCAGACTGTATGCAATGGTAACCGCATCCGAAATATCGCTGGCCAAATAGGGAACATCACATATTTGTCCTAGATCCCAGCAAATGAAGCTACTACGCAACGGCTCCAGGACTACTTCAGCAATAGTCTTACTGCAACATTTGGGACCGGATTGATGACAGTTGGGCGCCGCAGGACTGAAGCCTACGCACTGGAGCCAGGCGCGAGACGCTGTATATGGAAATAAACTAAATTATAAATTCGTCCTACTCGGAGAAGCTGGGCGCTGGGCTCTATCGTGTGCTGCGAGAAGTTGACATGCTGCTCTGAGGAAAATCCGAGCCAATGGCAAGCCTCTATAATGCGCGTTGCCGTCGAGTCAGCGTGCTGGCCATTGGCCCCGCATCAGGGCGATCAACCGAGATCCGATTCGTTTAGCGGCGGCACGGATCGCCAGCTGGTCACGCCACGACATTTAGTCGCACTAGCGAATGGACGATGGCGCCTGACCAGTATGGCTCTGCTGAGAGGTGACGAAGTGGGGCGGCTAGTTGTTTATCCGGCCGCGTTGACAGCTTGCCTGACCCCGCTCGCATGCCATGGCCGCGAGGTAGAACTTCCACAAACAGAAAGCATAGTTCAGGAATACCCAACACTTCTCATCCGGACCGTGTCTGCAGTCTGTCCGGCGGTGCTAAATCTACCATCGAGCCGGTAAGTAGACTTACGTGCCTTCTTGGCGGGTCGACTGACTTTCTTGTCTAGCAGCACGTGCATGGCAGGACATTTGCATGACAGCACCACGCGTTGCTACGAGCCGCTCCATCGAAGGTGCACACAGCCGGATCTGTCAAACTCAGCATCAAGGCGAATAAGAAATGGCGCGACAAGAGAATAGCGCCCATCAACCGCTTCCTCTTTGGCTTGATTCAAGATACACGAAGATGATATTCAAGGGAAACCCGATGACCCTCATAGTCCGCCCCGAAGTTGTTGATCCAGGCGAGTGGTTGGCACACCAAGGCGAGTTCTCGAGCAGGAAATAGTTTGTCAATGGATCCACTAACGTACGTTTCAGTGGTTGAACAGTATCGAATGCTATCAAGTTTCGTACAAGTTGTCCAGGAACCAGAACGAGATGGTGTTTCTATTTGCCGCCCCGAGAATTGTTCGGAAATGTCGGCCGGCAGGTGAGTATCAAACTTCATCACTTCATTATGGACGCGTCTGACATTACCCATAGCCGGTCCTTTACCTGGCTGGATCAGAATGCAATACCTGTGAAGTTGTCGGCGCATCATCACATTACACTCACCCTGCGGTGGATGACGAAGAAGATTGAAGACGAGACGTTGTTTCCCACGGACCCTCGTGGAGCTGTATCCGCCCTTTATTCAAGAGTGGCGCGTGAGGCCAATCTTGCTGCTGACTCTCGCGAAGAGTGGTTGGGACGTCGCAGTGGATTTCCGAAGCAATTCGATATCACCTGTCAACTCATGTTCCGCCAAATGTTCCGCATATATGCTCACCTCTACTGGAACCATTTCACTGATTTATATCACCTTGGCCTTGAAAAGGAGCTAAACAGCTGCTTCAGCCATTTTTTATTGGCGGCAACAACTCATAGCATGTTGCGACAACATGATCTGGAGCCCATGCAGGATCTTATCAATTTGTGGGCGGCTGATGGCATATTCCCGGTGAAGTCGAAACTCCATGAAAACGCTGATCTTGATCGTGGCAAGTACCTCCTGCACCGAGGGAGTACAGCGTAGTAAGGACACGGCGGGCCTTGTTTGTCTGCTTGGCTTGAAATGTATTGACAGAGCACCATAGCTATCCACAACGACACCAAGAGCGGCAGGGAATAAGAAGAGGATCAACACAATGTAGGCAATGATTACATGCCAGTATGAAAACATGGCCCTTCAAGCGATCAATGAAGCAAGCAGTGATCTGATTGCGGACATGACAATGATCCTGAACCTGGCTCCCTACTCGTCTCAGTTGATTGTCGTCGCACCCCTTCACATGTGTGATTTAGAATCGATCAGGTCAACTCAGCGGCGACGATGACTTTCGGCGGTACATTCAACGTAAGTCCAACGAACACCCGTCCCCCCACATTCTTCATGCGGCAGGAAGCGCCGTAGCCCGCAGCGGTCACAATCCTTGAGCTCGTCTTCGTATCTATCGAAGTGAAGTCCTTCTCCGCCGCAACGAGTGCATTTAATGTAACCAGTACCGCTGCAGCCGCTGCAGGGGTGACTCCGAGGAATCTGGCCCGGTGAAGAGGTGGCTTTGCGGCCGCAGTAAGGGCATTTCGGAGTCGGCATCTTGGTTTGGTTGGATTTGGCTTGGGTACAGACAGGAGTCGATGAGCTTAGTGGTTTTGTCACAGTATATCAGAAGTCCAAGAACACATCGGTGCAGAAGGAGAGTAGCTATTTATATTCCTTTCCTTGCCGTTGGTTGTCAATATCTGGATCGGTGGTCGGGTCCATTACGACCCGTGAGAGATCGCTGCCGACAGTGCGCACTGAACGCACATCGCCAGGAACGGTACATAAAACAGGGCCAAGCATCATCGTGCGAGATTGGGCATCGCGCATGACAGAAGAAACGCTTACGGCGGCAACAAGGGTCAATGTCAAGGCTGACGGCCTTCTCGGAGCCTGTACTTTCGTGACACCATGGCATCACGGGGAGTGTCTCTGAGGTATCACACTTCCGTGTTAGGACGCATGTGCAATGTGCAAGTTCAAGCGTACATGCAAGTGCCAGTAAATGACGATGATTGTGGCGACTTGGAGCTGGACGTGTGCTACGACAAGGTCAAGAGACAACTGCAATGCGGAAACCATGAACCCTTTCGCGCCAACAACATAAAAGCGGCAAGGCGGAGAATCAAGGACTATATCCGGGTAGCGCCGCTACATGGCAATGCAAAGCGCACGCTCTCTGGGCATTGAAGATGCGTTGGCATGGGGGTATTTGGGGCGCTTGCATGAGGTAGGCGAAGCGGAAAGTCGTTAGCTTGAATAGGAACCAGCCGAGCGCCATGTCGGAGACCGCGAGCCGCTAATGCCCTTTCCCAAAAGGCTTGCGATGTGGGGTTTGCTTTGACGGGTTCTGGCTAGTTAACTTATGCTCCTGTGGGCAGAAGCCTGGAACGACAACTAGGCATCCAGAAGTCACTGCAGGCCAACTTCCTAAAGTGACACGGAAAGTGGCGGACACTTGCGGAAGTATCCATGGTGATGATGCAGGGCGACATTTTTCTCGCGATTTGGAGCTTAGTGTGTGCAGTCAGACGCGCAGACGCAACTGCAATGCGGAAACATATCAGCCCCTTTTGCGGGCAACATCGTCGACAAGGCGGAGTTACAGCCCACTTCCGGATAGCGCGGTAATGCAAAGCGCACGCTTCTCCAGCCAATCCCGCGACTCCAACAATGCGTTGAGGGCGGACGCCTGTTGAGGGTGGGAGAAGTCTTCGGCGCTTGCATGAAAATCATTGGCTGACGTCAAGCCGCTACTAGTCCCTTCGAGGAAGGGCTGAGAAGCCTTGTAAGGACTCTGCGTTCTGGGAGAAGTGCACTTAGCCAATAGCAATTAGGCCACTTCCGATGTCACGTGCCGTCGGCAGGAATAACGCACTTGTTGCACTCGGTGGGGCAAGCGGGGAAAAGATTTTGCGAGGCATTAAGCACCTCAACCCTGTCATGTGACAGCATCTGGCTGAATGGGTGGCAAGCGACGTGTTGAGTGTGGCTCGCGGCAAGAACTGGTGCCTAGTGCTTTCCGCTGGTTTTCCAACAGCTTGGTGTAGCATATTCGGGCAGGTTACGGAGAGATAGACATGCTTTGACGCCGTTGGAACGCACACGGAGCACCAAGATGTCGAAATATCAGGTTAGTGGTCAGCGTGCATCTGAGGGAGGCATGGTAAGCAAGCTGATTCTTGCATAGGATGCGGTTAAGTGCCTCCGCTCTCGTCTGCGGCCGCTGCACTCAAATCCAGCCAAGAACGTGCCGAACAATTTGAACATGAAGGAATGGCTTTCGGAACTCGGCTGTGAGGTATTTTGTCTTGTTCGGAACAGGGATCCAGTGCTGACTGACCCAGGACCCTGACCTCTTGAATGTCATCCACATTACTGGGACGAAAGGGAAAGGAGGAACTGCAGCATATACGGATTCATTCATCCGCGCACATTGCCGTAACGCGTCTCAACCTATCAAGGTTGGCCTTTACACTTCTCCGCATCTAGTCACGGAACGGGAACGGATTCGAATTAACTCACAACCCATCTCGGAGAACCTCTTCGCCGTCACTTTTTTCCGAGTCTGGGATACGCTATGCAGAAACTATTCAATCGAGCGAATGCCAGGGTATTTGCAACTTCTCGCGCTACAATCAGTACTCGTCTTCCAGCTGGAACAGGTCGATGTTGCTATATACGAAGTGCATGCCGGTGGCCGAAAGGATGCAACAAACATCTTCGATCGGCCCGTCGTCTGTGGGTTCACTACGGTGGGATTGGATCATGCGGACCTCCTGGGCAACAGCATTGACAGCATTGCCGAGCACAAGAGCGGTATTATGAAGCGCGGTCGGCCAGCATACTCTGTGTTTCAACGCGAGCAAGCGGCTAAGAAGGTTCTTACAAAGGAGGCTTCGAGGCTTGGCTGCCCCTTGACGTTCGTCGAAGTAGATGCGCGAGTGCTGGATCTACCCAATCTGCGAACTTTCGCTCAACGTCAAAACGCATCTCTCGCCATCCAACTTGCCAACTCATACCTTGAAACTCGTGGCGAAGAGTTGGCGGAAGGAGATATAGTCGAGGGAAGCATAAGTTACAAATGGCCAGGACGCTTCGAAAGAGTGCCTATGGGTAACACGACATGGTTCTTGGATTGTGCACATAACGCCCTCAGCATACCGGTCGCCTTGTCTTGGTTCGGGTCCGAAGTTCGGTCTGTTGTCCCTCGCTCGAGCAGACATGTTCTCATCTTTGGACACGAGTCCGCACGCAGTACCTTTGAACTCATCTCATTGATTGCGAAATTCTGTTCCGAGCAGAAGCTCCGATTCGATTTAGTGATCTTGTCGCCGTATGAACGTTACGGTATGTGTCCATCTCTGCGTCCGGCGCATGTATTGATCCCTTGTCAGGCCAGAAAATACATGGGCAAACGGTTGCCAAGGAACATGCCACGTTCTGGAAAACTGTGCAGCCCTCAACCCGACTAGCCTGCGCTACATCACTTGAACAGGCCATGACAATGGCCGAAGACGATTGCGGCGGGGTCCTGCCCCAAGTTCTTATCACTGGGTCTGTTTATCTTGTTGGCCAAGCCATTACGTTACTTGACAAGATGCACGACAGAGGCTGCTAAGCTCACGCTTCACCTTTTGTGAACCGTGATGGATGTCTGTACATATTTTGGCCAAATAGTTCCCAGTCCTGTAATATGGTACCGATACTTGTTGACCCTTAGGAATTGTACTGCATCCTGCTCCAAAGACTCGGCTTTGGTTCTGTTCCCTTTTCTGTACTCCAGGTCTGCCAGCGAGTAGGTGATTATAGCATCCGTGTACCCAGGAGGCCAAGACTCCCGGGAATATGTCAAAGCCAGACGCCAGAATTCGAGGGCTGTGGCGAGATATCCGGATAAGTGGCATACCATTGCAGAGGCCAAGAAGACCCGGAACCGCGTTATTTTGCCCACTTTCCCCAAATTATGCATCCGGCTGAATTGCACGCGAAGTTCGTCAAGGAGGGTGGTAGCCTTGCTGATTGATTCCAAAAGGTGATTCGAAGAAGCCTTTCCTTGCCTCCACGAAGCAACACTCGAGCTTGCAACACTCATCACGTGTGCCTCTGCAAGACCCAAGCGCACTCGGGTGGCCCTTCGACAGTCCAGTGGGTAGCCGCCATCTAACAAAACTCGCAGCTCATCCCGCAAAAAAAGAACAGCATGCTCGAAAAATCCCGTTTCGCATGACAGCGCACTCAAATGAGTGACGAGCTTTTGGGAAGGTGGTGGTGGGCAAAGTAGATTGTCGATGTGGGTTATGGGTCTTGGCTCGGGCTTCTGATCCATGAGGTCCAGTAGGCACTGACGGGCCGTATGGAATCTTCCTTCATAGCGATAAATCTCCCCTCGAAGGAGGGCTATGTCGTTTAGCTGGATTTGCTCGAGCCTTGAAGTAAAGTTCGCCTCCAGTGGTCCATAGTCCGCTAGCACTGAAAGAGCGTCGATGTGCTGCTCAATGTCGACCATCAATCGCGCCTGAAACAACTTCATTTCACCAAGATGTGCGTTTGACCGTTTGTCATGCCTTTGGAACTGAGCCAGTAAGAGATTCATGTCGTGGAGCTGCTGCTCTGATGCAATTGTCTCCGCGATTCTGTCCAGGGTCATCCGTCGCAGCTGGAGTCTAGCCCGTGCTTGTGTGTAGGGGCCAATCAATCTCTCGGCAGCATCCAAAATCTGTTCTTTCCACGTGATATCGAGAAAATTGGAGGCTGAAAGGCAGGCGTCCACGGCCTCGGTAACCTGCTCTGCGTGCTGGAATTGCCAACGGATCTCCTCTATATACCGTACGACATGTTGGAGTTGAGGCAACAGTTCGCTGGCAATGGCCGCATATCTAACATTCTCGTCAGCTCAACCAAGTGATTTGCAGTATTGCTGAACCTACTGAGCTGGCTCAAGCTGTCGATGCGCCGGGAAAACATGAAGCATGGCCCCAAATGCCCGAAGTTTCCACTGCCCAGACTCCTGTGCAGTTGCCCGTTCGATGTTTCGCCTTATGGTAGTCGGTATCTCGAAAGCTCTCTCTTTTGAAAACAAAAGTAGTCCTTTTCTTTGCAATTTTTGAATTGCTCGCTGGCATCGATCCTGCTGACTGACGACCGCAAGTTCGGTATACATAGAATGTCTTATTTCACCGTTGTCATCCCAAGTCAGCCTCGGTTTTCTCAAACGCTCTAATGCCGTAGCCGGAATACGGCCACCGATGAAGGCTGTCAGCTTGATAAGGTCGAGGGAGTAATCATCCAACTCAGTGAGCTTCTGTCCCACTGTCTTCCGGTGGCCTCTCCCCCAACAGGTATGGCGGTCTTTCCACACTTTGCCGCATTTCGTGCAAGTCCTCCATTGGGGTCGGATCGGATATACCAGAACTTGAGGGGCGCTTATTCGGCTCTTTTGACGCATGTTGAGTGTTCGTCACGGTCTCTGCGAATGATTAGGAAGAAGAGATGGACGGATGTTGCAAGGCGCTCAGCGGGTTGCTGAATGTGGGGTTGAGCTGATGGATTACGCTATACCTGGTTGGGCAGCAATAGTTCCGCTATGCATCCATGCAGGGGGCATGTCGTTTTCGGCGATGTGGGACGTACCGATCACTTCCCACGGTGCCAAATGAACGGGGGTCACTGACCTTCTTCCCGCCGCGCGAACACTGACGAAAACGGCAGTGTAAAGTCCGCTAGTGTGCAGTGTGACTTGGCCTGATTGTAGGTTGAATCGCCGATTCCAGCAGGTAGTCTCGCTTGCCGGTTGGCTAAAGCCACCCAAGTCAGCTGCTACATTCACATGAACGCCGCTTGCCTATGCGGCGGCTTGCATGAGCGGCAAATACGATGGGTAGCATGCGACATGTCGCCTTCATGAAGCCAATCTGGTTAATGGTTGCGCATGATGTGACAACAGGTCTCTGACAACACGGCTCTGGCAGTGGTCTTAAAAGTCTCAACCTGCATAAAGCAGCCTCTATATAAACCCTCCGCCCCGAACAGCACTGAGTATGTTCTGTGCCAATCCATACGAACAATCAAAAGGCTCTGTTTTTTTAGCCTGTACGCGCTTTCTTCTTAGCTTGACCTCATCGTCTTAACGTGTCCTTCGTGTGACACGAGGCAATAAAATCCAGCAGTCGGATCGCACCATCCTGAGAAATGACGTCAAACGAGCCTAATATGTGTCCTCGCATGGCTCTGACTTCCTCAAATCGGCTGGAAACAGTTCCCAACGGTCGTCCTGGTTCGTCTGACAGGTAAGCTTTGATATAACATGCGCATCGGAACGAGGAGACAACGACGCCACCAGTTGAACTAGCCCCTGCTAACGATGGGACAGATTTTTTCATGCGCCGGTTCACGAAGATGTCCATCGTTCAAGGGCTGCGCTAACATCTGCGCGGGTTGACGCCAACGAAATTCGCCACCTGTCGGCATCGCCACCCGTCGACGTCCATGTCCCGGCGGAGGCAGGTGCCGATACTTACACAACGCTGAACGGCGGCCACTCACCTGCGACGCAAACCAACGCAGACGACGGATCCGCCCAGAGCTACGGACCCATCATTTCGCTCTCCGATATTCCAGCAAGTGATATCAGTACAGATTACCTCGCAGGCCTTTTCACGCATGATCCAGCCAGGCTAACGTCGGGCGATACGGCAACTTCACACAACCAAAGACAACCGCCGGCCGGAGTCCGTCTTAACGGCTATGCGTCGATTGGAGCTTTCCCTGACCTATTCAGGCCAACATCTATTGATACCTCATGCTCAGATGACCAAGTACGCGCGCCGGCCGAAGTATCTCTTAACGCCTCTGAGTCTCGGGCGGTCAAAACTCTCGACTCAGAACCACAACATGAACTTGATGAGCTGCTTGCCAGAATCGACGCCTTTGTTGCAGGTGATCCCAATGCTTCCATGCTGGAGGAGCAGCCATCTACACTGCCCATCCACGGCCGTCAACGATCCCCATATGCACCACATGGTCCTGAAGACATGGCCACAGCAGCCCACTTGCTGCAGCTTCGTGCGGTCGAGGTACCCAACAGAGAAGCTTACGCCTTGGAGCACCAAACAAACCGCGAACAAGTCGAAGGATTCGGAGAAGATCTGGAAGACTCAACCGAGCTCTGGCAAGTTTCCTTCGACGAATTCGGGCAGAAGATTGACTATAATAACTTTCTGGATCAGATACTAGCGGACTGGGATGCTCAGTCCAGCCTAGATCAGCTGCCCACGTCTGTTGGCACATTCCCGTCACTCGACTGGGAGCAATGGCTGTTCGCTGTAGACGGTGAACATTTCGCGGTCGCGCTGAACGAAGGCCATGAGTTAAAAACTGAACAGTGCTACATGGAGCCTCGTCAAAGAATGGAACAGGAGGTGGACGCCCTTGTTTCAAAGGGTGCAATTGATATCCCCGCGTTGGAGGACGTGCAGTCCGCGCTCTTTATCTTCGGCTGCCAAACTGTAGGCCCCAGTCATGAAATCCGGCCACCTGGAGTCTGAGGATTTCCCCTGCCCCGTCAGTGATATTTATGAATGCCGCTAGCGGAATGAGTTGCTGGTCCAGTCTGGACGCAAGGCAGCTCTTGGACGGGCGCCAGTTGCTGTCTGGGGACAGGCCGGAAGGAGGATGAGAATATGCGTGTGGGGGGAGGTGGGCTGCGGGGTGAGCCTGTGCGCTGGGAAGATGCAGAATGCGCTGCTTGATGGAGTGCACTCGCGCATGGAAGCTCTGACGTGGGTCCGTCGCATTACAGGAATGCAATATTTGTTTTTAGCCGTATGTCGACTTTTATTCCTTGTTGCAGAAAGAGCAATCAATTGTTGCTTTGCTATCATGCCTAATGTGGAGAACGTAGGCGAGTCCTACGTGGAGTATCGCGTCAAAACACCCATGGCACGCTTCTATTGGTCCGCCGTGACACGTGCTTCTTCCCTTAGTGGCCAACGGCGCTCCACCAGTCTCCAGCCCAACCGCCATCCACTCTTTCGTCCACTTTACACTCTTCCTCCTCACAACCTCATGGTAAGGGCAGGGCAATGCTATGACGGAGCAAACTCGCTCGAACGTCATCAAGAGCTATCCCCTTGGAAACGGCCTTGATGCCTTTCGTGCGTCGTTCCATCGGATATGTGATGAGTACAATCTCTTACCGAGCCCAAACGCTGTCGAGCGATTTTCTCGAGAAGGTAACCTCATTACGTCAAATCGTGGACGCAACGCTCCTCTGACCACGAAGATAGATCTCCAGAACTGTGTCCTCATCCTGCTCTCAGCATTGCAGACTCACCCAGCGGCTCGACACCTCCGTTCTCGCAGTGGAAAAACCCTGTTCACTGAGCTGTCGAGGCTCAACACGTTGGTCACTTCTGACGACTTCGATTTCGACTGTATCACGCCGCTCATAAGGTCGACACACGATGACACTCTCGACGATGCAGTCATCTGGGGTCATGTGTTACGCGCTGTCACAGAGCCCACCCCCCCTCCTCGACCAGTACCCTCGTCAATTCAGCAGACACCATTGAGTCAGAACACCAGTGGTCTCGTGAATTCATCAGAATTTCGTCGGGGTGTGGACATTGTCCTGAAGGCAGAGCTCGAGCCTCTCCATGCTGGTATACCGCATTTCCACAAAACGTTCTTCGGCGACGTGCCATACCTCGACACAGTCTCGCAGGACGTTTTCCGCAGGTGCTCCGAAGGCGACAATCCACTGTTCAGGGTTGGTTGGAATGGGTGGCCGACAGATGCCCAAGAGAGCGACGTGCTGGCTTGGTTCCGCGACTTGATTCCAAAGCTCGAGGCATTGGCAGACGACCGCCTCTCAAGTCCGTCAGCTCAGAGAAAACTGTTGGCGCAGCCAAAGACCCCCCTGGAAGGGTCCACAAGCAAGCGCAGCATGGACATCGGCTTCATCAGTGACAACATCAAATTTAAACCCGACGCTGCGGATTCGAGATATCGTTGGTCGCACATTCTCGTTGCTGGCGAGCTAAAAAGAAACCCAAAAGCAGACACATCGTCGACTGCCTGGATTGACCTTGCGAGGTATGCGAGAGAGGTTCTTGCTGCTCAAGACACTCGACGCTTCGTCTTGGGATTCACTCTCTGCGGATCTCTAATGAGGGTATGGGAGTTCGACCGACTAGGCGGGATCGCCTCCGAACGATTCGACATTAACAAGGAAGACGGGGCTTTACAATTCGTGACCACAATACTGGGATTTTTGCGGATGAACGAAGAGTTGCTTGGGTTTGATCCCACCATCGTCACTTCGGGCGACCGGCAATATATCGAGATCGAACGGAACGACGTGAAAGAGCGTTTAGTCATTGACGAGGTCATGCAGCGAGCTCGTTGCGTTGCCGGGCGGGCGACAACTTGTTGGAAGGCGCATCCCGAGGGGGATCCGCAGACGCTCCTTGTTATCAAGGACTCATGGCAATACACAGATCGGGACGAAGAAGGCGAGCTCCTCCGAGAGGCAACACAAAAAGGCGTGGCTCATGTGGCCCGTTACTATCACCACATGACAGTTCGTATCCGAGATGCCGAGGATGACATTAGGCAAAATGTTCGAAGAGGACTGGATATCACCAAAGCTACGAATCATCGACCGGGGGTCGGGATGCAATCTTCAAGCGTGACTGCAGCCATGGCTCCTCGCCAAGGACGAAGCACCAGCGCTGGTGAGAAGCGACCATCCAGTGAGACGGGCTCAAGTCTGCCGCCGAGTAAGCGATGTTGTTCAACATCTTCACTCAAGGCGGGCGTTGGTACACAAACAAACCGTGTGCACAGGCGAGTCATCATTCGCGATTATGGGAAGCCGATATACAGTGCAAGCACTCACTCCAAGTTACTTGTCGCGTTGGAACACTGCATAGATGGTCACCAGTCCTTATACAAAGCTGGTTTTCTTCACAGAGACATTTCCGTCAACAATCTGATGATCAACGAAGAGGAGCAGAACCCGTCCTTGCGGGCATTTCTGATTGATCTTGACCTTGCTATCAGGACTACCCGGGTGGAGTCGTCCGGTGCCAGAGGCAAGACTGGCACAAGAGCCTTCATGGCAATCGGAGCTCTTCTCGGTGAGGAGCACTCCTTTATGCATGATCTCGAATCATTTTTCTGGGTTCTATTCTGGATATGTATTCACTATGACGGGCCCGCCAAGAGCAGAGTCGTTACAAGGTTTGAGAAATGGAACTACGTCGACACAGAGGAGCTGGCTGGTATGAAACTTGGTGTTGTGGCGAAGGAAGCAATCTTCCTCAAAACAACATCCGACAACGTCACAGAATACTACGCGCCGCTTATTCCGGTGTTGAACAAGCTGCGCAAGGTCGTGTTTCCAGGAGATAAGCCCTGGGATCGTGAAGACGAGCGACTCTACTCCCAGATGACGAATATCTTGCAACGGGGCCAATAGACGCTTAATAATTATAGTCAAGTAGCTTATCAACCACATCTCATATATTGCAATGGCGTACGCCTTTAATGTACGCAATGGGACGAGCATCGAAGCCATGCTACGTTGGGATGTTCCCTTCGTCGCAGGTAGCCAGGCCATGCTTGAGGTTCTGTGGCTACTGGGCACCCGCCAGTTGAAATGGTGGGGAGCGTGGGGAGCCGGCTGAGCCAGACCCTAGTCGAGTGCCCTATTCCTCTCCAACATAGCTGCGAAGCATAAGAGTGAATGATTGGTAGTGACGCATCCGCAGATTCGACACACTTGAAAGCTCCTTCCTCCCGAAACGTGCCGCGCTGCACGCGACGAGTGTGCTCACGTGTCGTCAACCTAACAGAGTAATTCGATGTCTATACATCAAGTGAGCGACCCCAAGGGAAGTGTTCTCGCCAGGCGACGCAGATAGCGGCATCGCTCTTCTGCGTCCGGACTGAGCAGCTCGTGCACAAAGGACTCGATGTCTCCGTCCCCAAGTTCCTTCCTTCGATCCTGGATGCCTGCGAGCCAATCCCGCATCAGCTGGGCCTGGATGTCGTCGTGTAGGACCTGGTCGATCCTCCACACTGGCTGTGTCTTCTCAGGTAACGGTATTGCCCGCATGACGAAGAGAAGGGTCACCCCGAGAGCCCAGCAATCTCTTGCGGGGCCCTGGTTGTTCGGGCCGTCGAACGGCATGTACCACGGTGTCCCTCCCGGGCAATCTGTCGCCTCCACCACCGACGCGTGCCCAAAGTCTATGAGCTTCGCATCCACGACTTTTGTCCCTCGAGGGAGATGAGCAACTATGTTCGCAGGCTTGATGTCGTTGTGCACAATTCGAGCTTGCTTGTGGAGAAACGCCACTGCTGATGTCATCTGACAGGATATTCGGAGAATCGTTCTGTTTGCGTCGCCTTCACTGCCGCAGGTAAAGAAGTGGCCCGTGTCTACCCATTGCGAGAGATCTTTGCCTGGAAGAACCTTGAGGTAGAGTGCGTACAGGCGCGCGTCCGCGCCCAGCAGCTCCACGATGCACGGCTGGGCGCTAGTCAGAACGCACTTCAGGTCAGGGCCTAGTGCTTTGGTGCACACGTACATGGTGTAGACGCTCAAGAAAGCGCTTCTCGTCTGCCCAGTGGCGGGCTATTGAAGGAACAAAGCGGGAGTCACTCTCATGTTCACGGCGTACCACCTTGATGGCAACACGGCCCAGTTTAGAATGATGACCGATGACGACACAAGCTGTCTGCTTCACTGCTGCAGTGCGCACATGCTTCAGAGTATATGCCGCGTCGGGATGCCCACTTGTCGAGCCAGATCTGGGCCTAATAGAGAGAGTCTGCCCGAGTGAAAGCTGCTCCACAGGATGTATGTGGCCGCGCGGAACATGTTGAACAGAGCGCGCCTTGCAGAGTGCGGTCAGTAATGAGCTCCTATTATGTGCAACGAACCCGTGCTAGCGAGACGTAGAGGATGTACGCGTACAAACTTTCGCTTACTACCTGATCCGCCACGCTCCATGATCGTCGTTGCGTACGGTCTTGGGAGCAACCGAAAGTCAAGAAGCACTTCCGGAACAAGGCCTCGCCCTCGCGGACCATATACGCGCCAGCAGCCTGGGCGGATCCCCGCGCACTGTCGAGGAGGCACGCCGCGTCGCTCGCCGGCGGCCAGGTCGACCACCTCGACGGGCCCTTTGCATTTATGAGAAAGTGTTATGTGATCGGTGGCGGGGTCGAAATAGAAGTAGCATAGCGGTTCGTGATCTTGTCGCAACACAGGGCCGGTGCTCTCGGGAGTTTGCTGCACCGTGAAGATGTCCTTGTCTGTCGGCCACGGACGGAGATCGTCGCAGTCCATCGTCCGCGACGCGTCGCGGAAGCTGATGACGAGCCGTGTGTCAGTCGGAGCTTCGTCGAGTGGTATACGTTCCAAAGAGTCCCGGACTGGTAGGTCTTGCTCCTGCCCCTCTTTCAGCTTTGCCTGAATAGCTTCAATGAAGCCGCTGGAGTGCTCGTTCGTCGTGCTGCCACTGTCGTCCATAGTGTCTTTGAGGGGGCGCCATCAGTGTGGAACGAAGTGCTTCCCACCTCGCGGCGGCCGAGAGGAGCCGGTCGAAGCCATTTTAACGATATGCAGCGGTTGTCGCGACAGATCGAGGCGGAGGCGCGGTTTCGAACAACGCAAATCAGGCCGGTATGGTTCGCTGCCAACGCAAGGCTCTACGCGCCCAGGGGCAGAGGGCTCGCGACGGGCGCTACGGGAGATCGCGACGCCCCACACAAGACAGTGTTTGTGGTGTGAACTTGCACGGTGCGATCCCAGCCTCTCCCACCCAAGCACGAGAGTCGCGTCATCTCCGCCAAACACTACCTCCGGCGTCTGCCCGTCTCATCGTCGCCATGTCTTGGCCCCCCCTCCCCAAACCCGACCGGCAAAACACACTCGAATGGCCTTGGTGGGAGGTTGATTTGGAGGAAGATGATCTTTGCGGCTTTCTCTACAAGAAGTACAATACAGCCACCATCTTCCTGCAGGACCTGCCCTCCTTCTATCGGGACGTGGTTGAGCTGGTGCGGGAGACGAAAACCGGCAGTAAGGACGAATTTCTGCGCCTTCTCGGTGAGAGAAAAGCGAGACGGGAAAAGGAAATCACCTTAGCCCACGGCCAAACGTGTGCTGCCCTTGCACATGGGGGCCAAACCCTCAGTGCATCACAATATCGAAATCTCTTGCGATGGACCCAGTACTCGAGCCTGGATGCCTTGGTGCAATTCCTGGCGTCCTTTGGGCCTGACAGCGGTGGTAACGAACGACTGTCAACTGGTTCGTGCTTCTTGGCCAACGCAGCGCCTTACTGACGGTTCCTGCAGCAAAGTCGCAGGTGGATGCGGAATCGTCCACGTTGCCAAAGCGACCGCCGAACGAGCCCAAACGATCGAAACGGAAACGTTGTCCAGATACCCCCATCGACATGCAGAGGGATCGCGGCGGCTGTGGTGACGTTGTCAAGCCGCGTCAGACAAAATTGCGCAAGTCGAGTGCAAGAACGGCTCAGGCTCGGAGCCTGGTTCAACCTAAAGTGATGCCGACCGCGGCTGGCGGCTCATTTGATGATGGTGCAGTTCGGCCGCGGAGAAGTGCACGCATCGAGGGCCGGTCAAGGAGACCCCCATCGACTACGCAATAAGACGGAACAACAGCGAGGAATTAGCCAGCGCAAAGAAAGGGTGTTCGCGACAGCGGGCTCTTTGGACATGACGCCGTCTACACTCTACTATTCTATCACTATTCATAGCAATGTTTGGCGGCTGTTGTCGACACCCAGCGAATATACCATACCCAACGCGACGGATTATCCTTAATCTGGTGCTGATGAAAGTACACGACTCCTTCACCAATTGATGCGCAACGAGCTCTACCGACTGGTCGCGACAGCGAGGGCTTCCTGGATTTTGAACTTGCCTATGAGTGTGCCTTCATTCCTCGCCAGAGGACCACCTCTTTCTTTCCGTTCAGCCTCCTGGACGGGATAAGTACCTTCGAAGGATACCGATCTGTACCCCGGGATATGCAATGGTCGATATCCGACAGGATCCGGTACGGAGGTGCTCCCCACCTCTCTCCCGATGTGTACGCTATGTATCAATTCAGGCCTTTCATAGTAGGCGATACTAGTGGTCTTTGGTATTCCATTTTCGTAATATCCGTCTTTGTTGTATCCAGTAAAGATCTTGGTCACGTCTGGCACAAGAATCCTTTTTTCGATTTCAAGCAGTGGAGCTATGCTGAGAGTGCGGTCAGCAAAGGTGACTTGGAGGGTACCGACATCAATGTCAGTCGAGCGTAGTGATGCTATGAGAAGATGTGGATCTATCCTCCTATAGAGCTTGTCTAGGTACGTGCAGTAGGCCGCGTCGTAGGCCGCGCCGAAGGCGGAGTTGTCGCCGTTCGGAGGTTCGAACCGACAATTTCTTGCCAGATGCAAGACGATATAACCGTTAGATCGGAAGTCTCCGATCAGTACTGGATTGAAACCGTCTTTGCATACGTGCTTCAGCCATTTGTCGTCCCGGAATAGCGATCTAAATTGCTCCAAAATCCAGCCCTCATTCTGCTTCTTTATGAGATCTAGCGGAATGGCGAAGTTTTTGTGCATGCCCAGCAACAGAGAGAGCGGATCAGTCATCCCAAGGAAATCGTTGATCATTGCTTGAAGCTCGGCGGGAAGTTTCATGGTTCTTTCAAAAAGCTTGATCTGCGGTTGTCATCAGCTCCAATAGTCTCATCTATGCTTATATTACGTACATTTCCTATGTCTGCCTGCCATATGGATCTGATACCGAAGCCCTTAGGGAGATGGAAGATTAGACCACTTCGGCGATGTACTACTGTAATTTTCTGGACTTCTTTTTCTTTATCGGCGTAACAGGTCGCAGCAGAGGATAAAGTTATTTTCTTTTTTACCCTGTCGGCTATGCTCTCTGAATTTTCAGGTACGTTGTCTGGTTGAGAAAGACACTGTAGGTAGCTTCGGTATATGCTGTCGTTAAGGCTGTGGTGTACTGCGTTCGAGTTTTCTAAGCTACTCAGTTCCCCATCGCGTGCTTCCCCAGCTGCCGCAGACGCGTCTCCGAATTGGGGCCGTGAGTTGACGGATGAAAGCACGCATAGTCGGCTCCAGTCGTGCAGAAATCTAGGCACAAGCTCATCTCCCTCTTTCTCCTTGAATTCGCTGCTAATAATACTGGTGTATAAAAGAATGTGTTCGTTTTTTACATAAAATACCCCCGGTGCCTTTTCAGTACAGTCGTCTCTTAGGTATTCCTTGAAAACTTCACAATAGTATGCGCCGAGTATTTCTGTCAACGTCTTTGGCGTCGTCCGTTTCTTGCGGGTAAATAAAAGGGCCAATACAGTCAAACTGCTCTTCTTGTATACCAGATCGCGACCAACCAGAAATGGAATGAGACCGGCTGCCAGCACCATGTCAAGCCATTTCAGTGATCGGAAAATGCGTGACCACCAGCTCTTCTTCATTAGCGAGTTCTCGACGTTGGCGGCGCACTCAAGACCGCTACACAGAGCGTGAATATTGCAACTCATCCTGCATTCAGTGGCCTGAGTGCCTCCCTTACTGATCTCATTGACAGGCCGCAAGTAGCGAGGAGAGACCAAGATGCCCAGCGCCGAAGGGGTACGAATATTATTCACAGGTTTTGGTGCTGGATTTGGAACTGGCCGTTTATGACCTATCTGTACTATACTGCCTTACAGAAGTCTACCGTCTCAAAGATGGTACGAGGTACAGTTGTCAGAAAGTGGCGTAGCCAGGCTGGTTCTACCAGTACCTATTGAAGTGTGGTCGCAATGGTGGACAACGCTTGTCATTGCGTACCCCACGCATTTGTGGGTACAATCACTCACGTCAAAGTTCCGGTTCAAAGCTCAAAGTTCTAGGTCAAAGTTCTAGTTCAAAGTTCGAAGTTCCCGACCGCCGTCACAGGACTGCTGCAAACGCCTGTCAGCAAGGCCTTTTCAAGCCGGACAAGAATGCCTTTGCAAATCCAAAAATAGTCACCGTAGGCATGGTTTTAATACTGTACAGTACTGTATCTGCAATTATTTGTCGGCTTCGATATCTTGGTTCTACAGTAGAAAGGCTCGCATTGCGTCAAAGCGCGATGCCGGCAAAATCTCACCAGTGACGTCTATCAGCTTACGTGAAAACTCGGCTGCCCAACGACCGAGGGCAAAGTCAATGCAAAGGGGCAAATTCCGGCAACAACATAGTAGCTCAGGCCAACTGCATCACTTCGTCAGATTCTGGCTTTGTGCCCCGCAAGGTGAGGCGGGTCTCAACAGTGGCTACGGCTCTGCCGCGGGGCGCCATCGAAGAGGCCACCACACTCTCCGGGGCCTGGTGTCAAATCCGTCGCGATGCTGGATCTGGCTGTGGAAGCAGCGCGTGGAGGCTGACCAGATTGGTGTGCATCGAAGTGGTGTGCTCAGCAAAGTGGTGTGCTTCTTGTCCGAAGAGGGTGTCGTGGGAAGAGGGTGTCGTGGGAAGAGGGTGTCGTGGGAAGAGGGTGTCGTGGGAAGAGGGTGTCGTGGGAAGAGGGTGTCGTGGGNAGAGGGTGTCGTGGGAAGAGGGTGTCGTGGGAAGAGGGTGTCGTGGGAAGAGGGTGTCGTGGGAAGAGGGTGTCGTGGGAAGAGGGTGTCGTGGGGAGAGGGTTTCGTGGGAAGAGGGTGGCGTGGGAAGAGGGTGGCGTGGGAAGAGGGTTTTGCCAGGGTCCGAGAAAGTGGTGTTGTCGAGAGGTGGTGTCGCCAGGGGAAAAAAGAGGGTGTCGCCAGGAGTAGGTGTCAACAGGGGACATCGAATTGGTGTTATCACAAAAGGGTGTCGGGAGGCGGCGAGAAGAAGGTGTCGCCAGGGAAAGGGAAAGGGTAGTGTCTCCAAGGACCAGAAGAAGGTGTTGTCAAAGATGGTGTCGCCAAGGGACGCAAAGACGGGGTGCCATCAAAAGGTGGTGTCACCAGGAGAAGGCGGTGTCGTCTGCAGCCTGGACGCGAGTGTTGCTCGAAGGTTATGTCTACAGGGAATGAGAAGAGGGTGTTGTCAAGGTGTAGCCAAAATTGGGTGTTGCCAGGGCCTCAAAGGAGGGCGCCGTCATCAAAAAGTGGTTTCGGCAGGGGACGATAAGAGGGTGTTGGCAGATGGTCGCGTAATGCACCGTGGCGGGGACACCTTACCATGTGACAAGATATCCAGAACTGACTCTGGCTCTCTATGCTGACCTTGCAGGGCATGTGGTGTGAAGCTCGCAGAACGTGTGGTGTGAGGCACGGAGGCTTGCAGGACTTGTGGTTTGAAGCGAAATCGGCGTCTAGGACAAGGGGTGTGGAGCAAAGTCGGATTGCAAGACGTGTGGTATGAAGCTCGCAGGATGAGTGCTGTGAAGCATGCAGGCTTGCAGAGCGTGTGGTGTGAAGATTGCAGGACGCGTGGTGTGAAGCATGCAGGCTTGCAGGACGAGTGGTGTGAAGCAAAATCGGCGTCCGGAAAGTGTTGTGTGAAGCTCGCAGGACGTGTGGTGTGAAGCCTGCAGGCTTGCAGGACGTGTGGTGTGAAGCTCGCAGGACGAGGGGTGTGAATCATGCAGGCTTGCAGCACGCGGGTGTGAAGCTCGCAGAACGTGCGGCGCAAAGTTGTCTCCTCTGCTCGCCGGCCATTCCAGCTCATGCCCATCTCAGCTTCGTGATGAGGGATCCCCGCGTCTTGGTTCTGGTGAAACTGCCGGAGGTCACCGGAGACAACGAATCAATGCGGGCTTGTAACGGGACGAAACGTCAACTGCACAGAGCATACGCTCTAACGATGCGCACATAGGCGGTAACAGTTGCAGCACCTCAACACACCAGCATCGCTAGACCTTACATTATGAACCACAGGACGTGATGGTCTGGCTTCGGGGCTGGCTCTGCGTATATTACTGTAGTGCAGGCCTGGTTACTTCGGAGTTTCCCTCTTTTACTGTAGTGTAGGACTCGCCCCATTACCTCGGAACCTCCCTCGTCACTGAGCACTGCAACAGATAATACAAACTAACGACCAAAATGAACACGCGATCACTGCAGTCAACGCAAAACCTGTCACAAAAGGCCGCGTTTCAAATCAGTGGTGGCATGACGCATTCGCAACAACCCGCCGTCCCAGTGATCAACCACAGAAGTGCATATTTGAACAACCTTTGGGACTCTTCACGTGGATTGAAAGACCCGACAAGGCACCATCGTGTCGCTCCTGGGGGGCAAACTTACCAAGCCGACCAGTACGCTGGAGTCCAGATTCATGCGGCTCGTGCTTCGGTCCAGGTCCAGCAACCGGCGCCCGATTTTACGCATGGAGCTTCCGTGCCGCAGGAATACACAATAATCGGTCAGCAGGCTAATGTAAGATACGGCAACACCGATTGTGGCAATCTGGGTGATCAACCCTGTGACTGTTGGGAACCATGGATGGGCAGTCAGGAAGAGGGTTGCCAGATGCTTCTGTAATTGTGACCCTCACCGCAAACAGCCTGCAATTTCTGACTATGATGGTTTTCAGCTCGGTACCCAGACCAGAGAACGAATCTGTGTTACATACCCGAGGCCCAGGACGATTTTCAGTGCCATTGTATGGTCGACCCAGTGTCCCTGCGTCCGCGCCTCGTTCGGGAATTTAATTACTGACTAGAGAGCAGATCTAGCATTCCCGACGGCAACAACAAGACGTGTCCGCATTGTTCGAAACCATTCCAGGGGTTTACGGACTTTCTTTTCCACATGGTGGAGTCTCACCCTGATGTATCGCCCAAAGACACAAATCTGTCATGCACCCAATCGTCTTGTACTCATCTGCCTCCGTTTCGAAACATGGAAGAACGCCTGAGTCACGAACGGGTCGCTCATGGCATGGGTTTCTAGCCTACTTCAAGTGCAAAGATCTCTTGGGAAATGAAATCCTTCCTTCGCCTTCCGTAGCTGCGCAGCATCGATGTCCTAATGCGGCAGGATGAAAGAGATATGTAGAGCAATTTAGGTTTCGTTTGCGGAATGTTTCTGTTCCGCCTTCGCTGTCACCTAGTTTTCCCGACCTGCGGGATGGCATTGACATGGCGAAGTACACAAGCGAAATATGCGTCTCTAGAGTGTCGGCCAAGTGCGCATCGCGGCGTCGTGCAGTTGCTTGTCCTCAACTGCGCCTTTTTATCTCTCCCCGTCCAATATCCTCCTACGCTTCAACATGCGGAAATACATGAACTTGTCCGACGAGCATCATAGTGTGCGAGCCATTTTCATCAGTCACGTGATAGGGTGTGAACGTTGAACTTTGATCTGGAACTTTGCCACACGCGCCGCTACCCAGAGATGGGTGCGGGCTGCAGCAACGAATCTTGTCCACTAGGACAGTAGAACCACACCGGGCAAAGCTGGTGCCCGAGAGTGCAGCTAGCACGTTTGCGGCCCTCTTTAGAGTCCAATGAGCCAGCGTACTCTTCGTTATGTGGTTAACGACGTGCCGTAGCTCATAACTGGTCGGGTAGAAATGGAGTTGCTACGCGAGTTGGTGGCAAGGTTGCGGAAAGGCTTCTTTCGGTGCTCTTCGGACGTCATCGTCGCTCGGTGGTTCAATCGTGACCGGCCGTCCACAATCTTGAAGGCAAGCTCGTGAGGGTATCTGGAGACTGCGGATGGTGCTTTCCCTAGCTAAGTACGAACCGTCAGTGCTTACGTTGAAAGTCATGGCGAATGGCAAGCTTAACACTTCAATCGGCAGCTTGGTCGGTATTACTGCGTGCAATATTGCGCCGGGCTTTAAAGAATCGATGAAGGGCAAACTCGGACGGCGCTTTGTTCAGAATGTGACGGTATCGGACAGATCGCAATGTCTTGATGCAGGACGATACGAACAACGAGTGTTGGTGGTAGATGCTCTCGTGACTGGCCAATTACTTACTGTTCAACGTTGCTTCTTCGCAGACTGAGAGCGAAGTACAGTGGAGGTGCGCGACGGGAGAAGATGAGAGAACAGACTGGACAGAGAGGGTCTGGGGCGTCGGTCCTAGACCCTTCCGCGGCCGTTTCTACTCCATTCTCATATGAGGTGGTTTCGGCTCCTCCGCACACTGCTGCAGGCTTCAACGATGGAAGGGGGGACGGCCAAGTTGCGGATTGACTCCCGCCGACTCCAGGACCTCCCCCAGAAGAGCCATTGTCGGCGCTCAGACGAGGGTGTCAGCGTTGCAGACAAACGCTGGACAGGGTGTCCGGTGCGATGGTGTGGAGAATCGCGGGGTGGAGGTTGATGGTGTGAAGCAAAGAAGCTGCTGGAGGGCTGAATGATAGGGGACACGGATCCTTGTCTGCACCCATGTGCCCACCCTGGTCTTACCCCTGGTCCTGGGCAATGTGCAACAAGTCGGCGTTCACGGCGATCCAGAAGCGGCTGCAATCCTTCTTTGCCTCCTTCGCATTCCTCTGCCCCCCATTCGCATCCCGTGCTTCACACCACACGTCCTGTGAGCTTCACACCACTCGACCTGGAAGCCGATTTTGTTTCACACCACTCGCCTGCAAGTGTACATGCTTCACACCACTTGTCCTGCAAGCCTACATGCTTCACACCACTTGTCCTGCGAGCTTCACACCACGCTTCCTGCAAGCCGACTTTGCTTCCCACCACGCGGCCTGCAAGCCTGCATGCTTTACACCACTCGTCCTGCGAGCTTCACACCACACATTCTGGAAGCCGGTTCTGCTTCACACCACACGTCCTGCAAGCCGACTTTGCTTCACACCACACGTCCTGCAAGCCTGCACGCTTCACACCATTCATCCTGCGAGCTTCACACCACACGCCCTGGGAGCCGATTTTGCTTCACACCACATGTCCTGCGAGCTTCACACCACACATCCTGCAAGCCTGCAGGCTTCACACCACATGTCCTGTAAGCCGATTTTGCTTCACACCACTCGTACTACAAGCCAACATGCTTCACACCACGCGTCCTGCGAGCTTCACACCACACATCCTGCGAGCCTGCATGCTTCATACCACACATCCCGCGAGCTTCACACCACACATCCTGCAAGCCGCTTTGGCTTCACACCACATGTCCTGCAAGCCTTCATGCTTCACACCAATCGTCCTGCACGCCTGCATGCTTCACCCCATGCGTGCTGCCAACTTCACACCATTCATCCTGGGAGCCGATTTCGCTTCGCACCACACGTACTGCGAGCTTCACACCACACATCTGCGAGCCTGCATGTTTCAAACCACACGTCCTACAAGCCTGCATCCTTCACACCACTCGTCCAGCAAGCCTCACACCACACATCCTGCAAGCCGATTTTGCTTCACACCACTCGTCCTGAAAGCCTGCATGCTTTACACCATCCGTCCTGTGAGATTCACACCACTCTTCCTGCAAGCCTCCACGCTTCACACCACACGTCCTGTAAGCCGATTTTGCTTTACACCACACGTCCTGCAAGCGTGCATGCTTCACACCATTCATCCTGCGAGCTTCACACCACACGTCCTGGGAGCCGATTTGGCTTCACACCGCACGTCTTGCAAGCCACTTTACTTCACATCACTTGTCCTGCATGCTTCACACCACTCAGGATACAGGGCTGTGTGACAGACAGAGGGATCCAGAAATCGCTCCCGTTCTTCGTGTTCGCTACCCAGTTCCCCAAACTCTCTGCAAGCTTTATCCCACTCAGTTCGAATAACAGAGTTACTACTGATGGCGTGCATGAGGCCCGAGCGGGAGCTCCCCTCTGTACAGACGCTTTTCATCCGTGTCGATGAGCAACTAACTGGTGGTGGGCACAAGCCAGGCTTCGGCTTCACTACTCTGCGACTACCGCCCGCAACGTGAAAGCACGATGGGATGTACGCAGTTCCAGCGTCGCCTACCGGTACAGTAGTGCCCGTTTCGGTAACGTGCGGGAAGACGACGTCAGAGTGCATCGTAGCTTGCGAACCGCTCGGGCACTTCGAATCACGAATGACCCCAGGTCGCAGGCAAAGCTAAATTGTCAGTGCCAAGTAGGCGAGCCGTGTACGTCGAGCAAAAAACGCCGACGGCGATGAAAACCGAGCATGAAGTGGAGTCAATCAACACCCTACGAGACTAGATACATGTTTTGTCGGGCTTCGTAGCGACGTAATAGGCAAGGGACCCGTCCCAAGGCACTTGGGTAGATGGAGGGGTAGCATTTCCGTTCACAGATGGGACGTGGAAGGCCCCGGCCATGAATGCGACCGCCATTGTTCACATCGTCCATGGCCGTGCACATTACCGCCCAGTCGTCCGCCATCCGGCGTTTGTCGGCAACCGAAGTGCGGCCGGGGGGTTAAAGCGTCTGTTGGAGGCTACGGCCGCTTCTAGGCCAGCGTGAACTATGACAAGATTTCCCCAAGTCATACTATAGGATAACAATCCTGCATGCCTGCACCTCCTTATATAGAAAGGCTTCAAACTACCTGTCACTAGCTGGCCGTCCAATGCCTCGGGATCCGCAGAGATTCTGTTTCGTGCGAGGGCGTCGCTTTGCCAGTCTGTCCAGGTATGTGCCGGCGGGGGGGACCGTGCAGCCTTATACGGGCCAGCCGGGGTGTTGCAAGGCAGCGCATCCAAAGTTGAATTCGTCGCGGTGCTGAATGACCGTCATAGAGTGAGTCCCTCTGTCAGCACGGGCCACTCACTGTGAGGCCCAGCGGGGTAGTCAGTGTGAGCGGGCAACGGCAGAGAGACACGGCGGTAAGACGTCGCATCATATTGGAAGACAGTGCCCATACACTCTGGCATGACAGAGGCAACTCAAAGCTGCTCAGCACCATGATTTGTCGGTGCATGCAAGCTCGCCACGAGGTAAAGAGGGCGCTGGCGTGTCCGTCCAGCACGAGCGTCAAGGCTCATCTTCCGTAGTGTTGCCTGGTACTGATCGCTGTCCGCCCATAACAATTCTCGTACATTCGCCGAGCCGATGGAGTTTGCAACTCTTACCCTGGCCCTGTGTGCGGTGTGTGGCCCCTTGGGGTCGGGTTCACCAAGTACATGCCGTAGCCGGAGCCATGCTGCCTGCCAAAGGACATGATCGGTTCATCTTGGCCAGCTCTTGGCTGCTGGACGTGAAAGGCAGGCGACTGCGCTCTGTGTGCCGACTCGTACTGGGTTGCGTAAGTGATTCAACTGGTCTGTCGTGTGGTCTCTAGGATTCGGAAGGGCCTTGGGCGGCGGCCAAGTCGTCGGCGTCTTAGGGGCCCTCGGCCGGCGGTGCTGAGCGCTCGGCAGTCGCATGATCAGGCGTCCTGGTCCTTTGCGACGGAGAGGTTTGCGGCGGCTGGTCGCGGTGGTCACTTGGCGGCGTGCCATGGGACGAAACGGGTGAGTTTCCCATCATCTTGGACGCCTCCGTTTCGTGAGAGCGTTTCCGTTCCATTGTTTGTGCTCGTGCCGTCTTTCTGCGTAGCGATCGGGGAGACGGTCACGCGGCGGTACGCGCAATCAAGGTCGGGAGCTGCGGCTATCAGCGGACAAAGCGAGGATGGCAGCAGCGTTACGTACCTGGATGTACTGTTAGACTGTGTCGCGCCGTGCGCAGCCCAGGACCAAGCGTGGCGGCGAGACGGCTCACCTGAGATAGGCTGCCAAGGGTAGCTGGTCAGAGCTCGACCCGGCAGGTCGGCTGGCGACCGAATCAGTGCCGTGCGCTGGACTTGATGAGTTTGGGAGGCGAGGTGAACAGCGGCTTGTAATGACGCTCGCCAGATCACCCACCTGGAGAGATGTAAGCGGACACTTCCATAGCAGCACTCTGCGTGGCGTTATGTATCGTTGTTTCGTTTCTAGACGGATTGCTGTCTTGGTGATAATGGCGAGGCGACAGAAGCAGGATAACGGACAATG